TATAATATTTTAAAAAAATAAGGAATGCATGTTTTAAAGAATGCTATGTTTTAAAGGACAACCTAAAATAGTATCACAGCTTAAAAAGTAAGATAATGCATAAACATGAAAAGCAAACCTTTAAAAAGAGGTGCAATGTTCCACACATTGATGCTTCCAGCCTTCATAAACTGACCCAGCGCAATCTCCAGGAAGAATATCGGAATGCCTCCCAGAAATATGAACAACACATAGGGAATGAGGAACACTCCTGTGAAACACAGCAATAGAGACAGACAGAGAGCAATGTTAAAGACAACATGGAACGACATTCACAAACGATGTTAGGTGTGATGCATTTCTGAGCAAAATTACATATTTGACAAGAGTTGCATTTTGATAAAAAATTTGGAATAATTGTTGAAATTAAATGCATTGATGAATCGACCAGCAACATGTTTTAAAGTGGACAGGCTCGATTTTCAAGGTTCAACACTTGATATGACTGGCAAAGGATTGCATTTTGCATTCATTCTAGTCACAAGGTCTCATAAAGTACCAATGCCCAATAAAATTATAACTAGAAACATAAACTGAGGTCTCATGATGCATATAATGTCAATTAACCCCAAAAGACATTAAATAATGCATTTTACACATCTTCAAAGTTCATTTTAACTGAGGGAATGATCTGCTATTTGTGCATGACACCTTCACACGTTGGCACGTCACTTAGGATTTGAGTGCCGCTGGCCGCATTAGCATTTATCATGCGGTCAGCACACTGATGCGTCGGCAGCAATAAACCTTCGCTCTACTGATCTGAGATTGACAGCCACAGTAGAGGCTTAGAGAGGGGGTTGGTCGCCGGTGTGATGCAGATTATCCACTGAATACGTGCTGGCGTGCTCAATGAAAGTCTTGATGATGTCACCTGCCACTCATGGGCGAGGTGGACTGCGGGGGAGGATGGCCACATGTGAAAAGGAAAAATACAATGGGGAAAAAAAAGGCAGAGTGGAAAACCGGCATGCCGTTATTCAAAGTGACACGCTTACGTAACGCTAGCTCTGCAGGCTAGCGGCTACACAGCTGATTTAGAAGGAATGCAAGTGAGATAATCTAAAAAAATACCACCAAAACAACCCCTGCTGCTAATTTAAATACACTGATATGAATGAATTGGCTTATTTGGGAGCACTGCTAAGTCTTCATTCAGAAAACAACAGCTTTTGTTGGACTCATGACTCAGAAAGAAGCCTTTTGATGAAGTGCCTACAGAAGGAAGCACCGAAAACAAAGAGCTGCACTAACCGCCCTGCCAAGCCATAACAAACAGCCACTAAACAGTGAAACTATTCCTCTGGGGAAAAAAAAGGAAAATATGCATATGTGGGCTTGTGTTGCGCTGATTTGCAAACTAAAAAGGACGCCGCAGCAATGCCCTGCGAGCGGATGATGCATGAGAATGTGACTGCGGGTCAATGCGAGAACACGTACACACGCTAGAGCGGAATGAGAACAAGTGTGACTCATGCACACACACACACACACACACACACA